AATGTTCGTTGAAAAGGTAGAGAAGATTGTGCGAGTCATGCATGTGAATGGAAAAGTATGACTCGAGTATGAGATTGCACTGGTGTTCTTTTGAACTTGTTTTTTTTGCGTTTTGTGCAGGTAGGTAAAAAAATGTTTGCAGAGGAGGTTGATTGCGTCTACATGGGATGATGAAAAATATTGTCATCTCTCTGCCCTCCAGTTGTCTGCTTGTGAAAAGGACTTATAGTTTGAAAAATTAATTTAGTGTGTGTCGTTAAATGATAGCGATTGAAATAAAACAGATAAGGTAAAAAGGACCTAGTTTTTTTTAGATTGACCCTTTCTATCCCGAACGACCTTATCTGCCTATACCTGTCCAAATGATTCTCAGTCTTTACCTATCCTGAATTCTTTTCGTCAAAGTTACCCTGAACTTAGGAAAAATGATCATAATTGAAAATTACTTGTGGTGAAGACATTCTTTTTCTCCAGGAAGCATCTGGGGCGGGGGTTCGTTGTTTTAGGAACCGACCCTGTTATCGACCCAGAGTGGACCGTTCTACGGGGGGGTACTTTGCCGATTCGGTGGAGACGACCCGACTTCTGAGATTCGAGTCTTATGCTCGGACGAGGAGTACCCCAAACCCGTCAAGAATACCCCTGATCAAGAATCATCCGCAAAACAACCCGTCATTCAAGAAGATTGAGAAACGTATGGAAACGGATGTGTGCGTGTTCAATCTTAAGTCGGCAGTAGGTGGAATGAATAATGTTGGCAGCACGTCTCATCAAGTCAAAACTAAGGCAGGCCAACTACCTTGTCGGCTGCATTACTGTTATTCTCAGTAAGCCAACTCCTTGTTGACGGTTGCATGATTGTTTTGTGATATCCGACCTGAGTTGGTTGAATTGTTTTTGATCTTGTGTTGTTGAATGCATCAAATGATGATTTGGATTCTCCCAGTTATTACATTGGATTAGATGTACATTCTTATCAGCTGCGGTTAACTTTTTTTGTTGTAATTATGTATAATTGTTATAAATTTTGTTTGACTGTGTATCTAAGGGACTAGGATCGAGTTGGGTTTCATGCTTGGTTGAGACCGTCCTAGTCGACCGACGTTTGCTCTATACCTAGGAGATCAACGCCCTAGAAACGGACGACACTCGGGTCCACTTGTCGTTAACCAAGTGTGTCTATACTACAACGAACGAGCAAACGCCCTCGACTGACCTACCTCTGCGATTGCATTTAAAAGTTTTCGCATGTGCGTCAGTAGCTCGGTAGTGATACGCCCCTAAGGGTGGTGACAGCCCCTTAGGGAAGGAAAACTTATGCCCCACGGGAACCTATCTTGTCGTAGGGGACCACGGAATGTATAGCTGGCGCACCCGGCTAGAGCGGCGAAAGGACGACGCGACCACGACCGTCTCGGCGGTTCGCGAGGTTATTATGCGTCGTTCCTAAGTTGACTCTGTTTTTCTTTTTGTTTTACTCCTGCGTGACATGGCCGGGAGGGCTCCCGACCTTTGCAAAAAAGGCGAGAGCCGATGCGCTCGACAGGTGGCGCCGTTGCCGGGGATAACGACAAACTACCGTTGTCCCTAGCGGAACGACACTCGGGTATTTTATTTTATAGTGGATAAATTTATCGTATTGTAACTATTTTGTTTTCATCGATTGATTTTATTATCATTTTATCTCGATAAATTATTTTTGGATTTCATTCTATATATTATTTTGATTATTTTAAACGTTTCAGTTGGGTTTAAATTCATAATATCTTGATATTAATTGTGTCGTATTTTGTTATTGTTTTGATATTCGAGTTATTGTATTGAGAGTTATCATTTTCATATATCATATTTTAATCGTATCGTTTATCATGAACCTTGAGGTATTATTTTAGTTATAATTCTTGCGTAAATTGTTATTGGTTGGTACTATTTTGAAAAGTTGTCAACTAAAAGTTGACTTTCTTTTGATATTGTTTTGTATATTTATTTAGTCATGCATCATGTATTGGAATGATGTACATTTCGATCGATCAGTTTATCCGGACTCCCATTCATTTCGAGATTATCCGTTTTAGTAATGCATTTGTACGATTGAAGGCATCTGAACTGCTGTTAAAGATTATTTAGCTTGAGCCATTATGAAATTTCATGTGAAAGTATTTGTTGTAAGTTGTATTGTTGTTTTTGAATATTTCTGAAGTAAGTTTTGAAGGCGTTATTATATCACAACAAATTTCTGATAAATTTGTGAGCCCCGTAGGTGGTAGTGAGGCCCCCGCCGGAGCTATGCTCCTGGTCCATAGTGGGATGTTGACTTCCGAATCCTAAGTGGTTTAAGGGAAGGAAGGCTACACTATCAGCGAACGAGAGGAAAGTTTGAGATCTTGTTAGAATGATGCCTATAAGTGTAAGCGACTACTGTTTGTCATGAGGGGAGGAGTGACTACCTAGCCTCTTGCTAGACATGGTCACCTTACCTCCATGATCGAGGCCTAGTCAACCTCGACCGTGTGGGGTGGGGCAGTTATACTCAGGGTTGTCACGCGGGGATCCCCGGGGCCCAAGCCGGGGTACAGGTTTCACCCCCGGACCCCCGCCGCGGGGCTACCC